GAAAAAGTAAAGATTTGATTTCGTTTCTCAGTTTTTCAAACTTGGTCACGTTTACTATTAATTCGTACTCTTTGTATGTTTTTTTGTTCTATGATAGATATGACATGTGCGCAGTTTCTCTTTGATATATAATCTCGATCTATTCAGAAGGTCATTTGATAATTTTTGACGGTGATGACGAACGTATATAAGAGTAGTTTGGATTTGATAAAAGGTATTATTTATAATAAGAAACAAAGAGTTTAATTAAAGAAAATTTTCTTTCTTGACGTTTTACCTAAACTTTGTTTTTTGTTTTTTTAGATATATATATAATCTGTAAAATAATGAATCGATTGATTCTTTTTTTAATACTTTGCTTTACTTTCTTATTAATCATACAAAAAGCAACTGTATATGCTGATATATGTTTACACAACGAACGTTCAAAATGTACTCAAGCTCGTAATGCAAATGAAGTAACACATGAAGAAAATGTTCAGTGCAATCATTTATGTATTCAATCAGGACATGCATCAGGACATTGTTCATTGTCATCAAATTGTTTTCAATATTGTTTATGTCATGAAAAAGAATTGTAAAGACATTTTATTTTATTTTATTTTCAAAATATATGTTAAAATACAGGAGAATTAGCACTTATATATAAATGACTTTTAAAAAAAAGTATCCATCGATTCATTACAGTTTTGATAAATCAAACTAAAAGACTTTTGCTCGTCACTAGCTATGACTTAGTCTTAAATTGACTCGTATTTTAAATGGTACCGTTGCTATTTTTTGGTAGATTAGTTAATATCATATACAAGAACAGTTCATTACTAGCTGTGTCTATATCATTCATTCTATTATATTTATCAGCAGTAATAAAGATTAAGGAATACAAGAAAAAAAACGATTATAGTGTAAATATATACTTTCGTTGTCTATTTTAGTTTGAAATGAATAGATTTAATCGATCATAGTAGTAATAGAATAATAGTTTTAAAAACATCCTTATAATTGTGATGACATCATTTTGAATTCAATAAGAAGAAAATATTTCAAACTCAAATATAAATATGAATACTTCTGTTTTATACTAAATTGATTCCATCATTCGAAAAGCAAGAATGAGAAATCAATAATATGAGTCATAACATTGATTTTTATCTCTAACATTTCTTTCCGTGATTAAGATAAACTCAATCGGTTTACTTGGAATTCGACACAAGGTCAATGAAAGATATGTGAATTACCTTCCTTCATTTTACTACCTTGATTACATCGTGATCGGTGATCATTTTCTAAATTTTTATAATCATATATCTGAACAAAAACCGTAATAATCCATAAGAAATAAAGTGATTCATCAACAGTTAATATTGAATAGAGTAGCAAAATAATCAAATGAATGATTGTGTCTAAGGAAAAGTAATTGGACATAGAAAGTCCCAATTAGTAATGACGAATATCAAGGTAGAATACGTTTTATTAAAGGGATATATTTAGATTTGGGTGAATAGATATTTTCAAAATATTACTATAAACAGAATGCAATGATATATACGAAGTCGAAACGATACATCATAGCGATAAAACGTTTGAGCAAAGCCCATATTAGACAAAATTTTTCGTGGAATATTATAATGTCGTACTGAATTTATTATTTTTTGGCAGATGATACAATATGTTTAGCATTCGTTTTTATCTCATCGCTTTTTTTTTTCTTTGATTCTCTTTCTCTCTCATAGTATCATTGCCATGTTATTATTCTTTTTGAATGCAATCCAATCCCGTGTACACAACTATTGATATGAAAAAAAAAACAATATTATTACCGTCAACCAACAAATTGTCGTACTGATAAATTTATCTTCCATGATATTCAGTACAAGTAGAAGGAAGCAGAATTTTGTGTACTTTTAAACTTTAATATACGTATAAGATCGCAATGAACAAACTAATGATATTTATCCATCCAAAAAAATTTGAATTATGTAGTCATTTTGTAACAATGATAAATTGAGTTTTTCTAAGATGAACTATTCTCTATCATATTCTTTCCCTTCAATATCAAATTAAGGAATATGTGCAAGACAGCACAAGTTAAATAATAGAAGTCTACTTTAAATTGCCAGTCGTCAGAAAAAGAAATCTTTCATGTGAAACTTTTGATATAGCTTGGATAATATTTTTTGTTTTAAGAGCAAGCAGATTTTGATAAACTATCGATATCATAATTAAAATCAGTATTAAATAATATTTTCATGTAAGAAAAAAGAAAAAAAAACATATATCAAATAAAAATAAAACTTAGTTGAGATGTTATCATATAAACGTTAGATAAAACTAAAGATATGTATAGCACTGTATTTATTCAAGTCAAAATTGTTATTTCATGATGTGAAGATAAGAACATTATTTTATTATATCGAAGTTGACTGAAAATAATCTGATGATATAAATAAAACTCAAGACTATAGCTTTTCTAGGGACATGTATCATTCAACTTCGTCGGACTAATATTTTTGGACTCGAACTTGATGAAATTTTTAATTCGAATTTGATAGTCATTCCGAAAGAACGAGATACTTTTTCGATTATTTAGACTGTTACTAATACAAAGACAACTTCTTCATCTTGATATTAACTTTATATAATAGTTCATAACTAGAGAATATTGAAGATTATGCAAAATCAATGTTTATTTTTCTCTGTATTTTTAAACAGCAGCATTAGAATGAAAATATATAGTAGAATAATTTCAATTATCTGATTGCAAACGAAACAAAAACAATTAGTCTGCTACGGAACTAGGTGATATTGTAGCAAATAATCGTTGTAATTGTGGTGGCATCATTTTGGGTTCAGTAAAAAAATATTTCAAACTAAGCATTTGTCGATTAAGTAAACCAAATGCAAGTAATAAGGCTGCTATTTTATACCAAATTGATTCAATCATACGAAAAGCAAGAAAAAAACCAATACTATGAAGTGAGACATCCATTATTGTCTCTAACATTTCTTTACCAGATTCAACTAAACTAAATCGATTTCCTTTAAACTCGAGACAAGACCAATGAAAGATACGTGAAATTTTATGTGAATTATCTTCTGGTATTTTCTCATCTTGATTACGTCGTGGAGATGGATTCATTTTCAAATTTCTATAATAATATAAATGAACAATAAGCGCATAAATCCATAGGATCTTGACTAGTAGACCAACAGTATTTGATGAGTAGAGTAGGAAATTAATCAAATGAATGCATGCATCTAATAGAAAGTAATTATGTTGACGGCGTATAAAGCCCAATTTGGAATTGCGAATACCTAGAAATAGAAAATGTATCGTTTAAGTGGAATGCATTGAAATACTATAGAATCGATATTTTCGAAATAATTATTATTATAAATCGAATGCAATGTTACCTAAGAAAACGAAAAGATGTGTAATAGCCATAAATAGTTCGAGCGAAGCCCATAGTAGACAAAGTTCTTGATAGAATAGCATAATGTTGTATTAAATTTATTATGTTCAGCAAATGATGGTATATATATATATATATAGTTCCTTCATTTTACTTGTTGTTATATCATACATCCTTTTAGTTCGTTTTCATCTTTCATTTTGTTATCAGGATCGTCATGTTACTTTTCTCTTGTATACTGTGCGACCCTAAGAATATAAATATGAATACAGAATACAAAAGGCATAGATCAGCAAGTACACTTTTTTCATCACATGGCACTTTCGTCTATGAATTCAGGTGTAAATCAAGGCATAATAAAAAACAAATAAAACTTGTCATACTCTACTCAATATTAGGCATCGTATTTTATTAACTCATGTAAGAAATTGATGCATTCTAACGGATCTATCTATCATTGAAGAAGATCGACAATTACGTCTATAATTGAGAGACAGAATATGATAAATAGCTATTGAAATTCAATAAACAGAAGGAACATTTAATTCACAAATGTTCAAAAAATGATTTTGAGATTTTCTTTTTATGAAAACTATAGTTGTAAAATACATAATTATTCCCATAAATGCAATTTGATTTAATTCACAAAAAAAATCATCACATGCAGATGTTTGCATCGAACAAACTGCTGATGTTTATCGAGCAAAAAAAAAAAGAAACAACTTCGAAGTAACATTTTTCAATTAAAATAATAAATAAACGATAGTCAGTCAAATAGTCAGAAACAAACGTTTGAGAGGTAACTGTTAATTTTAAATGAATATAGATTCAAAAAAAAACGAAAATAGGTTTTAGATGTTGTCGTGAAAGTACAGGGTCCGTAAAAATGTTTTTCCAAATGAGTAACACTCTGACTTCAAATAACATTAACAACAAATTTTATACCAAATTAAAGCGCATCGAAAATAGGATTTATGAATACTAAGTAGGAAGAATGATAGCCATTTTTCAGTGTCGAATTCAGGAAAGTTCTAAAGTTTTACATTATATCAGCAAAGAAAAATTCCTTTCATGAAGCAGTTCAAACAAGATCTCATTTAAAATAATGAATATATTGCAAAGTAATGGATGCCTGATATGTAAATATTGGAACAATAATAAAAAATGAAGCCAAAAAAAATAGTTGTCAGAAATAGAACACAATCGATATGATGAAGAAACTCCAGAAAAAATTATATTTCATATGTTTTGGCAAACATGGAAACAGGCATTGGTCTGTTTAAAATTATTTTATGTTCGTATCTATCTCATCTTCGTGCTGTAGAAACACTAACGGTCATCATACTGATCAGACCAATCTGCGACCTGATCTGCTGGTCAAACCAGACGATGAATGTTTCTGAGTTTTCAGATCCATTATATTTCTAACTCTGCATTCATTTATGATATCAGTTTCAATTATTTATTTAGTTTATTTCCATGAAAATGATAGAGTAATGAGTTCTTATAGAAAATAGCAAATTAAAACAAACACAACTATTATAAATATTTTTTACACAATAAAGATTTGAATTAAAAAAGTGTTATGTGATGACATCAGGACGTGGGTATGGATGGGATATTTTTCTCTGAATCACACTCATATTTCAAGTATAAATGGTAAAGTTAGTGGACAATATCATGAACTCGTGGTACCATCTTATGCTTCAAGTTGACTACTGGAACAATTAGTATTAGATCATGTTCAGGCTACCAACTTTGGTCTGGCAAGGTGGTAGCTCTGATACTGATATTAATGATTGTATTCATCAAATCTTTAAAAAAATGGGTATTCATTGATTGATATTCATCATGTTAAATGAAGTCTAATTTGAACTGCCTCATGAAAGGAATTTTTCTTTGCTGATACGACGTAAAATTTTAAGAATTTCCTGAAATCGACACTGAACGATTGCCATAACCCTTACTCTTTATTACTGATAAAATCCTATTTTCAACATGATGTGATGTTGTATCAAATTTGTTGTTGATGTTATTTAATGTCATAGTACTACTCTCCTGAAAAAACACTTTTACGCATTCTGTATAGTATCGATAATTTGAATCATTATTTATTAAATTAAATTAATAAAGAGTAAATAAGATTGATATTTGTGTTTATGTTTGTC